CGCCTGACGTGTTGTCTTCCCCTACCAGGCACCCACCCAGGGCAGTGGGAGAGACAACATGGCCTGCAAGCAGCAACATAGAGCAAGAACCCTAGGATAAAGTGACAAACAAGGCAATGCTGAGAAGAAAGAGACACAGGCTGAGGACCACACAATACTGTAGCAAGAGTGCCATATTACACACTTCTTGAAAATTCTCTCAGGAAGTCAGTACTTGTAAATATTTTTGCTGTAAGTCAGAAGTCTACCTTTGAATTACAGTGAAGACAAACTTCACGTGAGAGATTCGGAAAACGGGACAAGAACCCCATACATATTTGAGAGAAATATAATTAACTTTGCTGATAAAAATTTGGTAAAAGCCCAAATGGGCAGTATGTTTTGAAAATGTGGACTTTGGGGGCTGATACTGGACCATTCCAGCCAAAAAATGTGAACAGAATTAAATTCTATTGCTTTGACATTTAGCTTGTTTTCTTTACCTGGTTTTATAAATTTGGCTGGAAAGCACCTAGAATGGTCTTAATTGAAGTATGTATCAGTGGGATTTAGCAGCTTCTGAATGTTTCAGCAATGATAACTATAATAATTTTGGTGGTCGACCTGAGGTTCATCTATCCTGTGTCCTGTCTACTTCAGCTTCAGAGGAAAATGTGAAGGTACTTAACACTAAGCCACAAATACTAGAATAGTCCGGTTTCCATGTTGCATTCTGACCTGTTATGTTAGCTTCATCCCTGCAAGATTATCTCTTAAAAAATATTTATCAACCATAAATAACAATTCAATATCATCCTGATATCCATACAAAAGCACAATAATTTTTCATAGTATTTATCATGTTCTTGGATACTTTTTTTCATTGTCACTCTGTTAATGAGTTCATTTCTAATGAACTTTAGTTCTAACGTGTGTGCATAAAATTTCACCTTTTATAGTAAATTGGATTTATTCTAAACAGTTTTTTTCTTTCCAGTGACAACTTCAATAATTTATTTAAAAAAAAAAACCGCCTCAGTTTCCGTTCAACCACTAACACAGCTCTCATGCCTCTGACATTTTCCTTCATACAGTGTATCACAACAGTAGCCTGCTGGTGAAATGCTGGACTCCATTCCTTTATAATCTCTTACTATTTCAAATAAAGAAGATCTCCTTAAATAACTCCTTATTTAAAACATAATACTAAAACAGGGGCAATGACATACCAGTATGTTAATAGTATCAATTAGTTAAGCCAGGCAGCAAATGTTCCAAGTCAGTGAACAGTTCCTGGACTGCACCCTGATACTAAATTAAAAGCTTGTTTGATGTCAGTGCTTTATCTCCTTCAACTTTTCAGAGTTTAATTGTACCTGTCAACTGCTGCTGAGAAAGGTACGTTTTGTATCAACACATGTACACACCTTTACATGTATGTATACGCATGTATATGTATACCTCAATAAAAAAACATAAAATGCCTAGGTTTTCCATATGAAAACACAATTTGGAGATGTCAGCTATCGGTCCGTGACCCACACCATTCACTTCAAACAGAATTTATAAGGTGCCAAGGCCCACTTCTGTTTGTCGCAATGCAATACATAGGTGTAATTTCACATGGAAACAGAGAACGGACACAGGCACTGCTTTCCATGAAGAGAACAGAAATCAGAGAGATGCACTAAACTGTAAAAAGTTTGAGTATTCACATCGCATGGCTGCTTCAGAGGTGAAATGCCCCAAAACAGCTGGGCAAATACAGCAGGTGAGGACCAGCATTCCCCTCCTAAAGCGGCAAAAGCAGCCACCCGCAGCACAGCCCTCCGCTGTGCCAGGTCCCACCTGGGGAGCTCTCTCCCCATGCCCTGGCTACCGCTCCTGCTCCAAACGCAAGTGAGTTGCATTCCTGGCAACTCACTAGTCAGGAATAAACCAGGCCATCACACACTGGACATTTTAAAACAGTTCCAAACAAGAATCATTGAAAACCATTTTCTAGAAGACCCAAGGTGAAAAGTAGCATGCAAATAAATCCATATTAATATAAAGGCTTCATAAAACAATCTCATTTCTGATAAAAAAGATTTGACCCTATACTGCCTGGCCTGGAAGACAGTTTGTTTCAGTAGCTACTAAAATGCATCAAAGCATAAGCTCTCTAACTAGAATATTAAACATCTCCATTGATCAAAACCAATGATCAGAAGACAAATACATTCATATTTATAAGTAAATAAAAGAGGAGTCTGAGTTCAAATACTGAATCAAAAGAAAATTTTTAGATTAACAATGAATAATCCTTTTCCAGAAATGAAATTTATTTAAAAGAGTTTACCTGCATTAATCAGGTCTGGATCTACTTCATTTTCAAGTGGATAAGGACCCTGACAACAACACAGACATATGTCAGCTTTATATTAAAATACCTCTGAGATACAATTCATAACCTCTTTATTATTTCTAATGGTTATTACAGCAAACAGATCATCACAGACACACTTTTATTTTTTTTATCTTTAGCAGAATAACATCTCTGACGATACAAGCCACAATTTATATCAACTAACATACCAGGACTGATGGACATACTGTTAGGGACCATTAGAATTACTAAATAACCACAAAGAGGGAGTTTGTTTGGTTTGGTTTGGTTTTGGGGGGTTTTTTGTTTTTAACCAAAGTGACAGATTACATAAGTGCAACTTCATAAAGCCATATGACAATGAAAATAATATTCACTTTAAGCTTTATTTTAAATTATATTTGATAAGGTTTACAAGGCTTGGTCTTGCAAACTACAGATGATTCTGACTCCTTCCAGCAAAACATGTAGTTAAGAACATACTGCACAAAGTAGCACTATAATCCTGAAATAAGCATTTCCTTAAAAACTTCTGTGCACTAAAATTAGAATTTGATCATCATGCAATATGGGATATATTTTAACATGATTTTTAGTAAAATTATAATCAAGTTGGAGGTGGGTGGGGAATAAAAACCAGCCACTGCCAGGTAAGTACACTGCAAAAAGTGACCAAGATAGATTCTTACCAAACCCAGGACTCCATTCTCACTCTGTAAGTGAACAGTTATGTCTGGACTGATGAAGTTACTGGCCAACAGTGGGATTCCAATACCCAGATTAGCTGAAGAGAATTGGTTAAGGCACAAACAGGAACACACTTACTGCAAACTAGTAACTTAAAAAAAGTTATCACTGGACTACGATCAGATTAGAACTGTTCTCTTCACAAACGCTTCCATATTTAGTTAGATGCCTTGTATTTGTGATGAACGGTTTTGCCTTTTGGACTGTCTAATTGTATTTTGTCAAATGCTTTACATGACAAAAAACACACAGTGCAAGTAAGCTGCATTTCCAATGTACATAACTTTTTCAAAAAAACTTGCAAAACATTCAATTGCTAACAAACTCTCCAGATATGCCTGGACAAAAACTCCGGGTACCCTAGGTCTTAACATCACATCTATTTCAATGGAGTGTTAATAAAGTGAGAGAATTCCAGGCTCTTGGAAAGACAACCAGCACGGTAATTAACCCGTCTTAAACAAAACAGCTGTCACTGAAGGATACCATACATGCCATCTTCAAACTCTAAAGCAGCCCGTCTGATGATCCTCTCCCTCACATTGTCTCCTTGTTTTTGTTTGGCTTTTGAGTCTTCAGGCTTTCGGATTGATAAGCGCTACAAAAGAAGTAATCATAAGTAAAGATTAGAATCCAGATTCTTGCTTCTCAAGACACAAAAGCCTGATGTGTAATTGCACTGAGATACTTGGTCTAAGAATAACATTATTTACCCATCTTCTACAAAAAACCCAATCTTTTATTCTGTCAGTTCAAGCTTATCTAAGCCAATGGAGTCATCAAACATCCCCAATGATAGCCTTAGAGCTAAACATTGTTTCTTCGTCTGTATTGTCAAGACTGAGAGAGTACGTGATATGGGCAACTGGTTAAGAAGACACCAAGCATTAGGGCAAATACTAGCAAGTCTGAGATCATTACCCCAGAGATAGCTGAATAGATTTGTAAAATGCCACCTAAAATACAAATACTGCTCTCTTTCTGCGTTCATTCAATTTAATGGTGATCTTCTAGACTTATATGCATGAGATAGACAAATGCCAGTTGTCTGAAGATACTGGGAGCTAAGCAACCAAGTTTTCAAACATAAATCTGTATAATCTCACATAAATCTGCCTGAAGTTCTTTCCTGAGATTTCCTGTCCTTAAGTTGATGCTTTCTAAACCGCATGTAGGTGACAATGCCATGACATTCAAGAACTTTCTAAGACCTTTTTTGTAAATTATTGTTTACACAGACTGTGTTCTTGGCGTATTTCTCCCACGCATATACAACTGCTCTGGGCAACATCATGTCCTGCACCCCCATATGTCTTCACATCCTCTCCTACTTCGTAAGCATAACGAACACATCAGGCAAAATTATCCTGTGTTCCTTTTCATCGCCATAAAAGAACTTCTGCCATGTCTTTCTTCCCCATGTTGGGAGTCGATTTCCTCTTAGGCTCCTGAACTTTCCAGCAACTTGGTTTTTATGTCTTTGCCATTTTCCCCAGAATTGCTTCACTTCAGAGTTAGGGAAAACCAAGAACAACCACGAAGGGTTTATCCACAGTAAAGAGAAGGCTGGATAGAAAGTATGACTTGCACTAGAGGGACCACATCTGAGCCAAATCAGGCTGTAACTGCTGTTTAAAGCCAGTAGGAATTACGACAGACTACCTTATTTTTATACTCTTTACTCCTCATGTCTCCTTTTAACGCTTGTCATACTCCACACTTGCATATGTACAGCCACTTCCTTCATATGTATTTTATGGAATAGTAAATAAATCTGCCATTTCCTTCCTATACTTCTATTAATGAAAGGCACCAATGCCAGAATTACAAAATTACAAAAAATTAATCTCTATTACAACTTTGATGTGCAGTTTATAGTGGCTTTTTTCCCCCCCTCTCATATCCTTTTTTTCTTAAGCATATAGGGAAGGGGGCAGTTGACTAGGTAGGTGTATTCACTGATGCAGCCAAACCAAAGACAATCAGGTGTTTGTATAAAGGTCTTCTTTCCTGGACAGAGAGTAAGCTCCTTATCCACTGCTAAACTGCAATAGGAACAGCAGTTTAATAAACGCAGAATGGATTTCTCTCATGAAAGGGAAAAGCTTTTCTGTGAGATATTACATCCATTCAGAAGAAGGAAACAGGCCATTAATTGCAATCTAACACAACATGCCCAGAGAAAGAAAAGAGGTGAAAAAAGAGGTTTGACACATCTGTTTCCAGTCAAATACTCAATAACATGCAACATGCTTTTGCAGAATGAACAGATGGAAGGGAAAAAAAATGCTTTTTAAACTTAACATTCAAAAACGAGTTTACTCAGACAAAAGCCCTTATATGACTTTCTGGACTTTGTGAATTGATTTTAATAATAAAAGTTTAATTATTACAATTCCTTTCTACACCTTTTTTTTTTTTCCCAAGATTTTTTTTCCTTGTGTCATATATCTCCCCCTCCACCAGCTCTTCTGATGACATTCTGAATAATTCCCACCTCCAGAGTATGGAGACACAGGAGAAATACAGAATTTTCAATTGCACTTCAAGAGCATTGTCACATATCCAAAATAAATATAGGAACATAGCTTGAGTGAGGCAAAGCCATAGAAACAATGAAGAACAATTACATAATCACCATTTTCTTTGATGTTTAATACAATCACTGCCATTTTTCATAGCTCTTGACATCTCTTATTCAGACCAGAAATGCCACTGGCTAAAAAACTTTCTAATCAAATAAAAGGAAACAAAGGTTGCAGGACCTTTGTAATGTAACGTGATACAATACACAGCACAAAAGGGGCTGAGACAGGCCCTATGTGACCACGTCAAAAGCTCTCCAGTAGAATAGAAAGTATCTAATTGTCAAAGCCAGCTCCTAGTCTAGGTGTTTCCTTTGTTAGAACAGAAGGTGAATCCAGGACTACAGGCAGTTGCTCTAAACTATTCAGGGACTGAACCAGAGAGGCTGAGGTATAAGAAACAAGATTCAATTCTCAAGCCCCCACCTAACCACCAAGTACCTAAGTAGCCACCAGTACTTCGCAAAACTTGACAGGTCTTTCTCACACTAATTTCTCAGCTCTAAGACTTGGTGGCTAGAGTAACAGCCCTGTAATGGCTAAAATACACCCCAAGCTGAAATATGTTGTGACCAAGAGGCTCAGCTACTCACTTCAATTCTCTTCTCAAACTTCTCTCCTTGTATCAGACGATCAACATAGATTTTGGGAACATGAATGTCTTCTGGGGCAAATGCTCCTATATCAACAATTTCTTCTACCTACAGAGAGAAAAGGGAAAGTGAAAATATTTAGAAAGAAGTGTTCAATGAGAGATTTTATTTGCAATGAAGTTTCAAATATTAAATACACAGTGGATCAAATCAAGAAAATTAAGGAATGGAACAAAACAGACATACTCTTTAAAATGGGCTATTTCAGATGCTTATCTTCTTCTTACAAAGGACATTTCTACACACATATTGGAATTAATTTATGTTTTAGTAGCCTCATTTGTACGACCACCTTGAAGAAATATACCATGTACACTGCATCAGAGTTGTTTGTACCTGCTAGTAATTTCCATCCAAACAGAAGGAAACAATGTGCTAGTAACAAAACGTCAGAGTACAATGCAGAAGTATGAACTTTAATGATATAAACACAGAAGCTGAGTTAAAGTTTCTCCATAGTGTACTCAAAAATAAAATTGAAAACATCTGAACTGTAATAACCAATTGCAAGAAAGATGTGAAGATCTAGAAGTCTCTACAGTTAATGAAACAGAGACTCAGCACAAAATGGCACTGATCTCACACAGTACATTTGAAATGTCACCTATCTGGAGCACCACAGACAACAGGATTTTCCTTCCTTGTACGTCTAAGTTCAGGGTGGTGTAGCTGGTGACCCTGCTATGGTCAAGCACCTGCAGAACAGACCGTCAGCCATGGCTGGTGCTTTCCCTGACAAGTCTCAGGTGCAGAGAGCACACTTCACTCTGCCACACAACAGACACTACTGTCATGACTGTACTTGCATCCAACCACAGAGATAATGTATTAAGCTAAAGCAACAGGTCAAAGACAACATCTGAAACAATTTACTCAAAAAGAAATCAAGTAAATATTCAAACTGCTTTATCACCAGGAACTAGTTAGGAATATCCAAAGTCTAAGAATCCCAAAACAAGACTCATGGTATGACAATATCAGTAAGGGGTACGTCACTTAGCAGGCATTACCAGTGAAGCAACCTTACAGAGCTTAAAATTCAATTTGACATCCTACTGTTACTGCACAATGTAATCAATAGTAAAATCTATAGTACATCTGATAGACAATTACCTTCCTACTGTGCCTTGGAGTGTGACAATAAACAAACGAATCCACCCTAAAAGCAGCAGAGGCAGAAGAATAATGAGGAAAAATTAACAAACTAAACACCAGAAGATCAATTTCAGATGATCCCTAAAGAAAGCCCTGGGGTAAACAGACAGGAAGAGACAAATTGTGAAATCTGCAAGGCAAAGGTGGTACGGAATAGGCAATAACATCCACAGCGACACCAGCCTCAGGGTTCATGGAGAGCAGAATCACACATCCAGAAAGTCCCTATCCACAAGATAAGGAGAAACAATCAAATCAATATTTTCAAAATTCAGACTACTGTATTCATGAAAATACAGTCCAATGGCATCCATGCCCTATCTCACCTGAAGTTTATTATTTTATACAGTAATTTTAAAATTAATACGGAGACCAATTCAAACACAGGGTAAAATGAAAAAAATCCTGAAGGATGCAGCTGAAGCACACTGCACTCTCGGTGCAGTGACTACTGTGAGAACATGCTCATAAGGGAGGAGAAGCAGGACACAAGACTTTTCAGTGAAGCCATATGTAATCAGATGATTTGCTACCAGCAGAATTCCCAAATTCACCTTTTCTAACTAAATTTGTCTTCATTTATCAAGTAAAAAATTAGGCCTGGGGAATACTAATTGCTACTGATTTGAACTTTCTCAAAAAAGAACCAAATTTATTTGCTGCAGTAGCTGAGATTCTAAAGCTAAAATCTTTGATGGGACAATTCAACCAACTTCAACAGAATTAACACTGTCAGAAAACGTGACACACTGTATCTGTCCCTCCATAGCATACACAGAATAAATAATTTATCCAGCAATAAATTGTGGGATTTGTTATTAGTCACCCTACCCACTTTACTGGTTAGCATTTTGTCTCTTTGGAAACAGCAGTCAGCATGATAGCTTTTCCTCACAAGAACCATCAACATAATAATTTATTATTTCTGTATATTATCCTAAATTAACATAACACAGACAAACTGTATTTTGTCCTAGGGATTTCAAACGAGCCTAAGCATCCCTGTAGACTGGAACACCTTTCTGTTCATAGGCAGCCTCCCACTATTCTTCCTGGTGTTTTGCAATTTCCATGTTCTACCACCATGTGAAATAAGCACCAAAAGTAATTAAAATTAAGTAGATTAAAATAACCATATAGCAACAAAATGGAATTTTGAAAAGGGATTAAAAATTTGGATGTAATATCTGCAAGTGAAATTAACAAGCATGTTTATCTGAAAAAGAAAGAATGCACGCAGGGAAAGTAAAAATGTCATATGGTTGCTCCAACTCTCTCTCCCAACTTGCTCACAGAGAACTAGATGACACTCCAGCTGAGACACTGTAGATGGGCTGCCAGCAGCCTCCATCAGTATTGCCAGCACTGCTACCACAGATGAAGCTGTGCCAGTGAAAGTGAAACCAGCAAATCTGATGGCTATGGGAATCAGCAACTTAACTTTCTGTGACCACTGCAAGACACAATCCAAGCACCTTTCTAGATAGGAATAATTATGCAAAAATAAATAGTTGCATAGCTGGGCATATCCATTTCCCTTTTAGGTTTTACACTCCTTTATGAGTCTTTTCAGTAGCACATCCACAGCCTAAGCCTCAATGAGACATGCAGCACAGCATTCATATTAAAAATTAGAAGGATGTGCATGAGTTTTCTTCCTGTTCTGCTCTCCATTTTCTGTTCTTTCTTCTCGCTAGTGACCATGCCTCAGGCTTTATTTTGTCATGTACAGAAGCATCCCTCTAAACATCAAAAATAATTGTATGGCATCCCACCCAAGAAACACAAAGCCTGGGAAAGCATAAAAAGGGAACTAATCACGGCAGACCATCTCCTGCATTTTTCTTAATTAGCAGATCAAAATACTTTGGTACCATTTAGATTGCCTTGATTACATGTGTTCATTTTAAATCTTAACTTCATCAGTGTGCTAGAAGATAGAAAATGTTTACATCTTTGCTACACAGGTAAAGCTAAAGAGTAGCTTCAAGAGACCATATGGGCTGAGTTCCCTCTTCTGGGAAGGGTCTGATGCGTGATTCAAAAACCCTTTCATTGTTTCAATAGTTTCACAGTATTGGTTCTCTTCCTGGGTATAAATGTTCTTGCAAATTTTGTTTGATTGCTGACAATGAATGCAGAATGAATAAAATCAATCATTTCTGAATACTGGTTTATCTGCAAGTACACCCAGAACATAAAAGCTGTTCTCCGCTATGATTCACAAGAGCCTTCTGCCATTCTTTTTGGTATCAGCACTCATAGAATCAATGGTCATTTGTTTCACAATATCACTTCCTTCTGTAATTTACATCTACTTCTCCCTTTTAAAAGTAGTTTGATTTATTTTTGCTTACGGAAATTCAGCTACTCTTCTACTGTTTTATCTCAGAATTTCTGAAGGCTTCCAGAGAGACGAAAGGAACCTCAAAGGTTATGGACTTCCAGTAAGCAAGACAATGAACTCCGGTTCTTGACCAAAAGTTGGCAAGGAAATTACAATGGCACAACTATTCATGCCAAAACACTTGAAAATAAAAAGGCCTTTACTTTGAGTATGTACCTTTTAATCTATTTCTGCAGCCTAATTAGGACCTTTAAGATACATGAAATGTTTTCAACTGTTTTAGTTTTAAATCTCAGTTTTCATAAAACTAAGCTATAACAAGAAATGACAATATAATCCCTTATTACAGGAAAAAAATCAAAACCGTGCCTGTGTGGGTGGGTGAGGGGGAGAAAAAGATGGGGGGGGGGGGGGAGAGAGAGCTTAACAAAACCTATGCATTTTTAAGTAGCTTATTTTTACACTGGCTTTATTAAATCTCTCTATCACTAGCTTCATTATCCTAGTACACTTCAGTTCTTCAAGCTGAAATAATAAAAATATCCAGCAGAACATAAGTAGAATAAAACATTACAGTTGGTCAAATGTCCACAACATCAGAAGAATGAAATAAAATTTAGCCCCCCAGAGGCTCAAGACAAACTCATTAGTGCACTTCTTCAGTTCACTACTGGAAGAGTCACGATGTCACTGCAAAATCTTATGTTTTTATAAACATTGCAGTAGAAGTTAAAAAAAATTTAAAATACACACTAAGGGCTATGAGGAAAAATTACATGTGTCTGGTTCACTCAAGATCACTGAAACTGTGCTCAACCATTCCCCATGGCTAATGATAAACAATGAAAAAAAAAAAGTCACTCTTAATTTTAATTGTTCAGACTGAAATTCACAAAAAGCTTTGATATGGTAAAACAGTGGAATACATTCTGAAAATAAGTACTGGAAATTAAATACACACTATACAAACTTACTGGGCTACCAGAAAGAGCAAAGCAGGTTAATATTCACTCAGTTCTGCCTGCATACAAGGAGATGAAACAGAGAATCTTCTGAGTTCAGTTCTATTCCTTTCTGACCCTAAACATCTGCCAGACTGGGAATATTTCTACTCCTGCCAAACTCCTAAAGTAATGAAATGACAGTCAGTCAACAGCTATCCTGAAGAAGAGACTTTTACAACAAATTTAACCAGTAAGCAAGTACCAAGTAGTCTAATAAAGGCACATACTGGTCAATAATCAGCATTGTATGCTCACACCAGACTTGGAATAAATGTCTTCATAAGCATACTGAGGGGCACAGGAACAGTAAAAATCTGCAAAGTTCAGATTTATCAGAGAACCTTTAGACTAATGAGACTGATCTGGGTCACACTGAAGGTCCATTCAACCCAGTAACCCTTCTTGGCAAAGATCAGGAGCATAAAAGACAGCATAGCACTTCTGGTGATATTCTTCCAGCTTCTAGCAACGTGCAGTTTAAGGATGTCCTTAGTCAGAGGCTGGGCATAGACCACCTTGCTTCACAGCTTCTGATGGGCCAT